CATATAACACATGGGATGTTTTATGCATCACTTATAATACATTAATACAACAAGTCGTTCTAATTCTTTTTCAGAAAGATGTTTTGTGTGTTACTTGGGGGTGCCATTGAGCCGGACTGTCTCTTCATGCAGTGATTGACAGTTTCTTATGAGGTATTCGGAGGTTTGTTATAAAGAAAGTTGAAAATACTTTTTTATGACATCTCATAAATTAATACAACTGAAAATGTGCAGGTTGTCTTATAAGGAGTTGAAAATACGTTTAAATAACATTCTGGCAATTAGATGTACGCTTTGCTACTAACAAAACGTCTTCATGACGGATCGAAGGCGTGTTGAACGAGAAAATAATGTTCATGCCATTGGCAAGAACATCATAGATACTTATAACAAACCTTTCATCTAGCGGTGTTGGTCTAGTTAGGTAGAAACAAGTCTACCACGCCAAGGACCAGTGATCGAATCCCATGCTCAAGATTTTTTAATTGTTTTTTTTGTCGCTGGTTTTTATGATGTTTCCAAAACATGTTACAAGACCAGTATTTAGTTGTATAAGCTCCGCGTCTTGCGCTTTTTAGGTTGTATAAATGTATTAATTAAATGATGTATATTAAAATATTAGTGATTCTTTGCGTTAGTCATTACAAAGTATTTTCATTCTCTTTATGATAAGCCGTGTTGCTTGGGGTAGTAGTAAGTGTGATTGCCTCTCACCCCAAAGTGTTCAATTCCAGTCGGCGCTGCCGGGATTTTCTGTGGCAAAAAATTTCTGATCACGCCTTTCTTCGGCAGGGAAGTAAAACCGTTGGTCCATGGGTCGATAGGTAGGGTCCAGGAGTGGAAGCTGCCCCCCTGGCGTCGTTAGTATTGGTACTCAGTACGGAAAACAAGATCGTCGGAAAACAAATCAAGGGAAAAAAAGAAGTCCAGTTCAGGGAATGAACTTCATGAAAATTTAGTGAACCTCCGGGTAACTTCGAGAACATCACAGATGACCAATTAATCTCAGTTCAGTTCAATTAACCCTTTGTCTATATCTTGGGGTCAATATGACCCCAGGTAATTTTTGCAATCTTGATTATTCATCAAAATGAATTTTTCTCTTAAATTTTTGTATGCTAAATTCTTCTTGATATGCCTGCCTCTTAGTTGAGATAGGGGAAATGGCTCTAATGTTGGCCTACACTGAGGCAAATAGACATAAGAATTTCATAAGGCTCGACTTATGACCAACACATATGAATTTCATAAACGTGACTTATGAATGATTTTCGGGTAACATGAGCTACCTCATACCTTATACGATTTTAACCATTTCATTTTCCCAACCGTTGAAAGACGAGTGGTCAACACACGGGCCTCGTAATCTTAACGTTCATGGTTCGGTTCCAGTCTGCTCCGATTTATTATTTTTTTGTCAACATTATTTTTCATAAGGCAAATCAGTTAAATTCATACTTATTTCTTGTGGCTAAAATTCTTATGGAATTCTTATGTCCAATTGCCTCAGTGTATGGATCTAAGATTGAGCCTATCACTAAAAATCTGTTATTTATCAATTTTATCTAGATGAACGCGTCATTGGGACGGTACTAATAAATATTTTTGGTAGCTATTGAAAATTTAGTCGATTGCTGAATTTATGTATGGGTCCAATTCAGGGGCATTTAGACCGACATTACATCCATTTCCCCTATATTTCGAATTTTATTAAATACCCGTTTGAAGGATTTTTGTAATGAACTTAGCATTATTTTAGAGGTACAGACAACCGGTTAACTTAACAAGGATCTCAGGGAATTTCTTAAAAATGCAGTTGGTAAGTCCAGAGATCTTCGGAGAGGAGTCAAGATTTTTAGACAATTGCATAATTTTCAAGGATATTCCAATTACTTGAAGGATGATCAGAGAACTTCAGAGCAGTTGCATTAAGGTTCAATTTACTTTGATGCATTTTCGAAAAATTCGAAAGCAGCGTTTTTCGACGCATCATTTCAGTTTGCAAAAAGCTTGCGTCATTTTCTATAAAATAGAAAAGGGAAAAGAATTACGCGAGCTTTTTGCAATCTATAGTGACGCTTCGAAAAAGAAACTGCTTATGAATTTTTCGAAAATACATCAAAGTAAATTGAACCTTAATTATTTGCAGGAACTTCCATAAATTTGGGAGGCGTTATGAAAAATTTCAAAAATTTCAGGACTGTTCCAGAAATGTCAATAATATTGCATACTTTAGTGTTGTATGCACTCCCCTTAATTACAATAATGGGTGCTCATTTAAGAGAGCGCAAAGATTCGAGGTGGGTGGGGCACACGTTCACTAAATCGGTGAAAAACCAGCTATAAATATACTAGCTCTAAAAAGTAATCAAGAACTGTACTGTTTGAATACATGATGGAACAAAATACTACAAACACATCATGTTGATCTTGGCTCTGTAATGTTTATTCGATTGAGCCTGTACATATATATTTATTAACATATCTGCAGCGAATTTTATTTATAGATGATGATAAATCTCATATTTTGGAGAAAAAAATATTCGCTGACTTTGTGAAATACCCCCCTCGTAGACTAGCGTAGACTTTTTGCTACTCCCTTCCTCCCCCTAGAAAGTCTACGTGGTTTATGAACGGCCCTTAGGGGATGAGTTCCTAGAGTATTTAATGGGGGTTTCGAGGAAGCATTCGAAGATAATTCTGCGGATAATTGGCTATTGGGACTAACGTTCATTTTCAATGTCCAAATGCTGGCAATCTCATATATTTTATCAAGGTCGATGCCGGCCACGACCGAATGCAGGTCATTAGGGAGAAGAAAGTATTTTGATTGCGTTATACTTGCTTTGATGGAAGCCGAGAAGTCCTCGAGTATCACAGGAAGGTATGAGAGCTGGGGTAATGGGTATGAATTCGGCTTGATAAACGATTTGATAAATCGTATCCTTGTGTATCGAGAGAAAGATACATTGATGTGGCCCAATCAACTCAGCTTGGATAGAACCTAAGATTGTATACACAGTAACCATAAACGGTCACCACTAGGTCACCGAGCTCCTTACATCTAATCAACCCACTGCAATTGGCAATCGGTCACGCCTGACGAAAAGCTGTTTCTAAGAAAATATTGAAGAGAATCATTCGCTTCGTCGAGCAGTTTTGGAACTACTTATACTATATAGTTTAAAAAGAAGAGCTAATTTTTATGGCCTATCGTAAACAAAACCCTTGAAGCCCTAGAAGAAGAAAATACTCAAAATATTGCTACGTGATAAATGTTGAGTGATACGACACGTCTTCATAAACTGCTCTAGTGGTATGATTACTTAAAGGAAAAACATAAACGAGATTTTTCAAACATGATTAACAATTGAAAGAAGAATACGGCAACTTAGAGTGCTGAACTCTTTTTTCTCTCTTAAAGAGAATACTTAGGGTTGATGTCCCTAATGTGTCTCTAATATTGGTCCCATAATAAATTTCGAAGAAAAGCTATTTTTGACAATGTTTTAAAATTAATCAAAAATATTAATTTGAATTGTCCAGATGACATATGTTCTACGAAAAATTTAAGAACATTATATTTTTAACAATGGATTCAATTTTGACATCCATAGGCCAACATAAAAGCCATTTCTCATACCAGAGAGAATCCAAAAAAAAAATTGTTGATATGAACTCTAATAAACGTATGCGACGATTCTTTAAAAAACTGCTAACTAAAAGTACCAACAAATCGTTTAAGGTAATTCAGAGATAGGAAAACATAATTCAAAATATCGATTTAAAAAATCTTAAGGATTCTGAGACATGAAATTATTTTCGACAATATGAAACTGAGACATGTTTAACCTAAAACTTGGGAAAAATCGACACACAGTCACAATGAGAAGATTCTAGGATATAACAAGTTTTCAAGATTCTGAGACAAACATCAACAACAAAATATTCGAGATGTCGGGCTTCGAAAAGCTCTGCAGATTGCGAACTTAACAAAGAAAATCAATTATTTTAAACTTTGAAATTCTGAGTATTCCATATTGAGTCAGAACCCTGAAGACCTTGGGCAATCATTTTATAGATATTTCTTTTTTCTTTTTTTTTTTGAGAAATTAAATTAAACACAAAAAACACACATTGAGGAAGTTTTATTTTTACTTAACTGATTCTTTTCATGGCCACCTTTCGGGCCAAAAAGAGCCAATACAGCCAATAAAAATTGGTACTGTGTTTGTCATTTACTCGGAAATATTTTATGGATCTGTATGATTTATTACCACGAAAATCCTTCACGATATGTTTATACAAATTTTGTCCATACTTACGATTATGATTCGACATGTATATATAATATATATTTGAGAAAACTAATTATTCACGGGTAACTTTCCATTTAATTATGCACAATAACTCCAAACAAATGTTCCAGCTCGTCGAGCAAATTTTTCATTAGAGCATCTTCTCAGTTGAGATTTTATTCTCATCAATTTCACTGAATCAATCCTGTGATGTATGTCTTTCCAAGAGATTCATTGAAAACAGCACACATTCTTCTTAGAACTCATTAAATACCACACCGTTCCAGAGGCCACACGAATATAAATTCACTTCCTAACGAACCTATGCTCATGTAAAAATGTAAAAGATCGCACGGTCGTAATCTGTGTAATTAATTAATCATAACAAACCGTTTCGCCGTCTAATTGATTGAATTTTCATCGTTCGCTTCCTAAACACACAAATCAATTCCAATCACATTTTCGCGAACCACCCACAAAATTAACGCCCGCTAGCACTGTTTGTAATCTCGAGCAAAACACATAAACATCTGATACCCAGGTCCAACAGAAATAAAATAATCACACACACACATATATATGCAAGGCTGCTTAGCAAAAGAATCGTTAATTCAGTTGTAAGCGTATTTTACCCTCACAATATTTACTGGGTAATCGCAGAACTCAACAAAAGCAAACACTTGAGATCAAAGCTTCCCATACCGTAGCGTCGCCGTCGTCGTCGTCGTCGTCGTCGTCGTCCAATTCCGGCAAAAATTATCGATGGTCGTTGATGATCATTCCATGTTCGGAACCATGGGTGGTATCAGCATCCAATCGTCGCCTTTCCTTTTTTTTTCAAATCACGCACCACAATCCGTTTTGTCCGTTCGATACCGAAATCCAAAACCCGGAAACTTGATTGAAATTGGATTGGATCCTAATCTTCAAGCATCCCCCTTAACAACGAGGCAATCCGATCGAATTGTGAGATTAGTGTATTACCGAAAGTCCTTCCACTCAGGCTGATGGTTCAAAATGAACTGAACACTAACCGATGAAAATCTCTCAACTGGCAGTTGATGCCAAAAGGATGCCGCCAACACCACACACGAAACCGATACCGAATCCCGATGACTAACTAACAGTTTGCGCCCGCTCGAAGAAAGAGCATCCAACCGTTCCGAGACTTGAATCGAAACTGGCTGGCTGGTTGGTCTGGTCTGGTCTGGCGTGCGTTACTACTGCCGAGGCGGATTGGCAGTGAGGACCGCGATGACTGTGGGAGTATCGTTTTTTTTTGGTCTTTCGTCACGAGCCGGTATATTGACTGAATGTGTGCAACAAAACAAACGCGCCAGTAAGAAGAGAGCGAGCAAAACATGTGCGCGAAAAATGCTGAGAGCAAGAGAAAAAACTAACCGGAGTGTTGCAAAACAAGTGTGGGTGGTTGGTCGCGAGATACGAACAGTGTTGCAGACAGAGCGCGCCAAAAGGAGGCACTGCTCGAAAAGTGCCCGAAAGTGTGTTCATTCATTTTATGATTGTGTTCTTTCATCGGTATGATTGGTGTCTTATAGCAAGAATTATGAAATAAGATCATATTACCTTCAATTGACGATTGCAGAATGCATAAAGGGTGTCCACGATGAAATTGCCACACACAAAATTGATTCGCAAAATTCGAGTTTTCATCCGATTGCCATCAAATTTTCAGGGATTGAGAAATAACTATTAAACTTCATTTTACCATTTTACTCGTATTTTATTTACAGTCCATACGCAAATACCCGCACCTTGGCCTTAACCCCGGCCATAAGATTCTGCACAACCTGTGAATCAACCGTTTTTTGCATGTAAACCCATACTTTCTTCAGTTCCTCGACTGTCTTCACTACCTTAGGTCGTTTAAGAAGGTGCTGCTTCATAATCGCCCAGTACTTCTCGATGGGGTGGAGCTCCGGAGTGTTGGGAGGGTTGAACATTTTCGGCACGAAATTGACCTTATTGTCCGCATACCACTTCAGCACGTCCTTGGAGTAGTGGCATGAGGCCAAATCCGGCCAGAAGTTTGTTGGGACGTTGTGGGCCTTCAGGAGAGGAAGCAGCCGCTTCTGAAGGCACTCTTTTATGTACACCTGTCCGTTCATCGTGTCCTGGGTCACGAAAGGTGCACTCCGATTCCCGCACGTGCAGATGGCTTGCCAAACCAGGAATTTCTTCGCAAATTTGGACATCTTCTGAGTGCGGACATGCTCCGGAACGCTGAACTTATCCTTGGCCGTGAAAAACAGGTTGCCGGGGATCTGTTTGAAGTCGGCCTTCACATATGTTTCGTCGTCCATGATGCAGCATTCAACTTTCGTCAGCATGTTGAGGTACAACTTCCTGGCACGGGTTTTGGCGGACTTGTTCTGCTTCTCGTCGCGATTAGGGGCCTTTTGTACCTTGAACGTTCGAAGCCCAGCCTTAGTTTTGGCCTTCTGGACAAAACTTCGGCTTAGGTGCAGCTTCTTAGCCACATCCCTAACGGAGGCGTTCGGATTTCGGTTGAAGGCCCCAACTACGCGGTTGTGATTTTTGGTGTTGTACGAAATACTTTTTCCTTCACTTCTGGGCTTCCGATCGGTGGTCAACCGTTCCTCGAACCGCTTAATCACTCGCGACACCGTGGAATTCGCGATTCCCAACGTTTTAGCGATGGAACGATGCGAGAGATCCTTGTTCTCGTGATGAATGCGCAAGATTTTATCACGCACGAGCTGTTCTTTCGACTCCATTTCCGCGAGTTTTGATCACAGGACTTTAAAACTTGCAGGATGTAAATAATGCGCTATGAGCTAAATCCACCCAAATTTTCATTAAATTCTACCCAACGGTTAAAAAGTTAGAGCAATTTCATAGTGTGGCAATTTCATCGTGGACACCCTTTATGCTGAACGCTGGACACTAGACAACGAACTAAACACAGCGGCGCCGGTGTTGTAGTGGTAAGCGTGATTACCTCTCACCCCAGCAATAACATCTCTGATAACGCCTCCCGTCGGAAGGTAAGTAAAGCCGTTGGTCCCCGGTTCATGAATTTGATGGGTCGATAGGTAGAGTATGTGGGAGCTGTCTCCCTGGCGTCGGTAGCATTGGTGCTCAGCACGGAAAACAAGAACGACGGAAAACAAATCAAGGAAAAAAACGAACTAAGCACACATCAGAAAACGAACCGTATAGTTTCTAGGAGTAACAAGAACAAAAGCTTTTTTTTGTATTAATTTTTTTGTACAGTCTCAATCGAATAAGCTTTACAGAGCCAAGTTATCATTTGCGTTTTACATAACTAATGTTCTTACTTAAATCTAGAGTTAAAGGAATTGAACCGATTACTCGCGGTCGTCTGAAGATTAGGGGAAACAGTCCTATTGTTGCGGTACGTTTGTAGCGTTAGAAGCATATTGCTGTGTATGGAGGTCTCCATACACAATAATAGGCTTCTAACGCTTCTGATACTGCTGTTTTAACTAACATTGTGCAATAATATAATGGTAAAAAGTAGTAAAAATTGATTTTGAGTCAAATGGGAATTAATAAAACAAAAACAAAATTGATCTATAGTTATGATCATGTCACCGTTAAAGGAAAAAAAACGCAAACTTGACCACATCAAGCGAGAACAGCCCTTTTTAGGTTCCGTTTGGGGTCTCAAACAACTGTACAACATTTAAAGACGATTGGTTTTAACCCGGCTTTCCGTATTGCGTTTGAAATTTGTATGGCAAAACCTACTTTTTTACATTTTCATCCCAGAGACCAGAGATGGCCAATCAATCAATTTATTAATAAAAAATAAATATACGATATACACACAATCGTTATACATCAATTTATAGCTTCCAACCTCTATTTTGATAGAAAAATATTACTTTGTAATATAATTGCATACAATTTTAGAAAACTCGTCCTCCATTAATAGGAACACTGTTCCACTAGTTGTGGTTGTTGCTAAATTTGGTTCCTGTAATAGTGAAATGCGTTGGTTTCTTATGGGTTCCACTATTATAGGTACACTACTATAGGTGCAAAGGAGTGAAAATCTTAAGGAAAATTAATTATTTTTCGTCACTTTTGGGCATATTTTAAGATTGAAATATGCAAATATGCTTTATTTTAAGAGAGCTACCGATGAAAAATAATCATATCCGGGTCCTCCTCACTATTCCGGCACAAACTCCATAACGCAACTATAGAGGCACCACTATTGCTGGAACACCTACCCTAGTTCTTTTAGAATGAATAAAACTAAGGAATGAACGGGTCTGGAGAACAAGAACTACAAATTAGAACTAGTATCTTCGAGAACGGCTCCATGAATGCTTCTCAAGTTACTTACTTACTTAAGGGTCCTGTGCACCACCAGCGGTGCAAAGGGCCAACGTGAAAGACTGCCATTCTGGGCGGCTGCTCGCTTTTGCCTTGACCTGGGCCCAGGTCAGATTCCTATCGACTTGCTTAATTTCATTATTGAGGCTCCGCCGTCATGAGCCCCTGGGTCTACCTCTGCTGTGATGTCCTGCCGGATTCCAATCCAGCGCTTGCTTGCAGATTTCGTTTCCGCCCCGTCGAAGTGTGTGGCCGACCCACCTCCACTTTCGCTCTCGAATTTCGGTTGCTATTGGCTTCTGATGACATCGACGATGGAGCTTGGCATTCGAGATCCAGTTGTGAGGCCACCAGGCACGAATTATATACCGCAGGCATCGGTTGATGAAGACCTGCAGCTTTGGAGTGTTCTCCGCTGATACACACCACGTCTCGCTGGCATATCACAACACAGATTTCACGTTCGAGTTGAAAATTCGGATTTTGGTGCGTTGACTTATCTGGTTGGATCTCCATACGTTTCGTAAACTCGCAAAGGCAGCCCTAGCCTTCTTGATTCGTGCACCTATGTCGCTCTTTGTCCCGCCGTCCAACGCTATTTGGCTGCCAAGATATTGGAAACTTTCGACCTTCTCCACTGCTTGCCCCGCTACCATAAAGTTGGAAGGGTTGCCCGTGATATCCAACGATTTGGTCTTGTTGACGTTGATGGTGAGACCCGCCGCAGAGGAGCGTTCGGTTAGGTCATTGAGCTTACTCTGCATATTAGAGCGCCGTTGTGCTACAAGAGCAACAAGTCGTTGAGATGCTCCATGGTGATAGGCTGCCAAAGCAGCCCACGGTTCGGTACATGGTCAATTGCACCTACCATGATCCCGACGATTACGAAGAGAAACAGTAGCGGTGATAGTATACATCCTTGTCTCACACCAGTGACTACCCGGATAGGGTCGGACAAGGCTTCGTTATGCAGAACTCTGCACGTGAAAGCCTCATACTGCGACGATGAGATTCTCGTGATTGAGACGGTCGAAAGCTTTTTCGTAGTCAATGAATACCAAATAAAGGGACTCTTGGAATTCATTGACCTGCTCCAGGATGATGCGGAGCGTGACAATATGGTCCACACAAGATCTTCCGGCACGGAATCCTGCCTGCTGCCGTCGGAGAGTCGCGTCGATCTTCTCCTGTATCCGATTCAGGATAACTTTGCACAGAACTTTGAGAACAATACACAGTAACATGATGCCTCGCCAATTGTCGCACACAGTCAGATCCCCCTTCTTTGGGACCTTCACTAAGATGCCCTGCATCCAGTCGGCCGGAAAAGTCGCGATGTCCCAGATATTACAGAATAGTTGATGCAACATTTGTGCGGATAGCATGGGGTCAGCTTTGAGCATCTCTGCTGATATGCGATCGACCCCTGGAGCCTTGTTGGATTTCATGCTTGGGATAGCTGCTTCAATCTCCTGCAGTGATGGGGCCTCGGAATTGACGCAAGTGATGCGCCGTACCCTAGGCGGATCATGCCGAGATGTTGATGGCTGGTTGGCCATCGAAACTTGAAGAAGTTGTTCGAAGTGCTCAAACCAGCGTTTCAGCTGGTCAGTGGGGTCGGTAAGCAATTGTCCAGTCGTGTCCTTCACTGGCATCCTCGGGTTCATCCTTGCTCCACTCAGGCGTCGTGAGATATCGTAGAGGAGGCGTATATCGCCAGTGTTTGCGGCTTTCTCCCCTTCGTTGGCCAGGGAGTTCGTGGGTGAACTCCCTGGCCGACGAAGGGGAGAAAGCCGCAAACACTGGCGATATACGT